AATCTTTCCAAATGGAGTCTGGAATTGTCAAGCCACACATCGATGTTGAAAAACTGGAACACTTCAATGGGCTGAATTACAAGCGGTGGAGCATGGAGATTTATTATCTGATATTTATATCAGATAATATTTCAAGCATTTTGTTCGTTTGAGACGGTTTGCTCAAACTCAAACTGAAATTCAACTTTCAATTGCAGATAGGCTTAATTTAATTTTTAGTCTATTAACTATCACTTTGATTTCATTTTAGTCTAGAAACTATGTTTTGTTTCTAAGTGGTCTATTAACTTTCAGATTCATTTCAATTTCGTCTACTTGGTCAAAGATAACGGAAAACTCCCTATTCTGTTAAAGAACAGTTAGTCCTCTAACTATATTTTTTTGATCTTTTAGTCCTTAAATTTATATTTATTATAAAAATAGCTTTTTTACTTAAAATTTTTATTTATAGGCTTTGATACCAGATTTTTATACGGGTTTTCCTATTTCTTTAATTTGGTATGAGAGCCTAAAAGTTAATAGACCACTTAGAAATAATAATTTTAAATATAAAAATCTGGTATCAGAGTCTAAAAATAATAATTTTAAGTATAAAAGCTATTTTTATAATAAATATAAATTTGAGGACTAAAAGATAAAAAAAATATAATTAGAGGACTAACTGTTCTCTAACAGAATAGGAAATTTTCCGTTATCTTTGACCAAATAGACGAAATTGAAATGAATCTGGAAGTTAATAGACCACTTAGAAATAAAACATAGTTTCTAGATTAAAATAAAATCAAGGTGATAGTTAATAGACTAAAAATTGAATTAAACCATTGCAGATAAGGCAATTACCAACCACTCCTTATCTTTATCTTTTTCCTTTTCTTCCTTGTCTGACATTGCTCCATGTTTGAAGCTAATGAACCGTACCTGCATCACATGCATCCCTTAAAGTCAAAAAGTGAGGTGTATATATATATATAATAACATATATTATAAAATATTATATAAAGTAAATAACAAATATATTATTAGAAAATATCGCCCCCGTAACTTTGGCTGTCTTGGTTCGGATGCGCTTAACTCTTGGTCTCGACCAGAGTTCAAGCTGCAATAGCATCCCCCTATTCCCCCTTTTCCCCAAATTTCCCCTGTTCAAAATATATATATATATTATTAGAAAATATCTAATTACATATGTAACATGCAGATATG